CTCATATCCAGAGAGATGGAATATCAGTCATGGTTTCTCTGAAATGTGGGAGCGCAGCAACTGCTACCAAGCACAGTTGTACAGAACTCAGATAGTACCTGCCCAGAAGGTTCAGGGAAAACAGGTGTTAATTTGCTTTAAGAAAAGGAATGCTATTGTGACCAATTGTATAGGAAATTGCTGATTTCTAGGGTCACATCTCCCCTCACCCCCTCAGTACACATATGCACGTATCATGCCTGTACAGTTGCTGCCTTGGGGAAGAGAAAGGTTAATAATAATAATAATAATAATAATAATAATAATAATAATACTTTCCCTGGTATTAGTTACTCAAGGCTTTGCAACAAAAAGCGGTAAAATATGTGCGGGGGAAAAACCCCAGGTGGAAAATTTAAGTGACAAATTGCTGATGAATAAACCACATGATGAAGTCATCTTTCTGCACCATTATGACTAGTGATCCCAATCCAAACACACTTAAGCTAAACCAACAGGTCAAGCTGTAACTAAATATAAATTTTAAATGCTCTGCATTGCTCCGTGTGACAGTTTATTGTAAGATGCCTAGAGATATGAGATTCAGGAGGTGTGGAATAATGAGGAATCTGTTTTGTTCTGAACACACATTTTTTTATCCAGAGGCCCAATACAGAGAAAAACTAGGAACTGCAGGAGGGGAGATGGTCTGAGAAAAGCTCTTATGAAACATTTTCTTTTTCAGAATGATGAATGAAATGCTTTTTAAAAGCAGTGATTTGCAGCAACATTGTTAAACAACTAATTCACATTGCTTCAGGTCTTGTGGCTAAAAGAGTCACAGCTAGTAATGTTAGTGATTATAGCTGTTTTACTGTATTTGACTAGATTATTAAAGAGGCGGTGCTCCTAAGATGCAATGTTGGAAATAAAGAGTTCTCAAGTGCTGAAGAATACTAACATTTTCAGGCATTTGCCACAGGTGTGAAATCTGGCTGTCTACCAAAGATTGCGGGGACTTCAAGCCCGCCGACCTCGTATCTCATCAATCTTTAGCTTATCAGGCCTCCACCACCACCACATTTTGTTAGCGGGACTTTGGGTGTATTACCATTCTCTGTACTCGAGAATGGATAGGATGCCTGTGACACCAATTTGTAAAAACAAAACCAGAATTGCATGGTAGAAAAGAAATAATGCTGATCTAGAAGCATCCCCTCGGCCTTCTGTTGCTAAAAATCTGCAGTTGGCTCTCAAAATCAGCATCATAAGAACTTTATATAAGCAATGGTTGATAGCCAGGAAGATCGCACAGAAGTATAGAAAAAAAACATGTCCTTCAATCTGTGCCATAAATGCACTTACCATGCACTACCTCCCGCACACCATTTAAATACCAAGTCATGGAGATGGCACAGTATTAGCCACTTTGGTACAAACCGTGAAGAGTGTATGTGTGTTTTATTTTCAGATAATCTAATGCGCGCAGGCCTAATTATCCCCCACTGTAGCAAGGAGTTCTTCCTGTGTCACAGGCTCTTTGTGTGTCCCAGGCACACTGCTTGGCCGTTCCCAGTAGTCTCTGATTCAAAAACAACATTGATGTCAGTGCAGTCAGAATCACAAATATATACAAGAAAGATTTCCTGTCTGCCCCCCACAAATGTGACCAAATAAATGTCCACCTTATCAGATAAGAGATGGTTAACTCCTGTTCTGGTCTGCTTATATAATGCTCCAACTTAAGGGCAATCCTTTCAATGGCTCACTTAAGAGCGTGCTCAGCTGGACCTTTCCCCTCGGGCAATCCTAACACTTATGGAGGAAGCCCACTGCCACAAGCAACCACACCACTGTGGTTTCATACCTATCAGGTGTGTACAACTGGAGCACCCAGTCTGTGATAGTCAGAAAAGCTGAAAGTCCATTGATGTGCCTTTATGATCTCAGCAACCTTATTATCAGAAGGCTTAATTTGTATTATTTCATTTAAAGATTTATTATCCATTATCATTGCTAGAAAGAAATCCAAGAGACGGCTGTGATACTATCAGCATATTAAAACACATAAGAAATTCCAGCATAAATCAGAAGCCGGTAACGTATGACCTCAAGATCAGTACTAATTTCCATCAATTGCCCAAAGTCAACAGATAGACATTAGTAGGCACTGAAAATCTTGTAAGTGCCTCCTCCTTTATTTCAGAGGTGGGGGAATTCTATAATTTAGGCCCACTATGGAGACAGTTTCTTCAAATGCCACGGCGTGAACTTCGGGAGGCTGTAGCACACACCAGGAGAGCTTCTCCTTAAAGATCTCAATGTATGGACAGGTCCGTGGGTGGGAAAGGAGATTCCTCAAGTATCCAGGCCCTTGGCTGTACAGGGCTTTAACAGTTAACTTAACATTAGGCTCACAGCAGCAGATCATTATTTGCAGTCACTATTCATCAGAGCCAAGGCTTGAATTTTGTTTTACAACCCATGGAATATGCAGAGTAAAGAGCAGATGACCACATGCGAGTATCTATCTTCCTTCACACAAGTAACTACACAGGTTTAATACATGTTGGAGGTTAACAGAAAGACTGTTTTTCAGTGTACACTGCTGTGCCAGTATAAAGAAGATGTACACACAAAGTTCATGGAAGTCATATTTTCTTTGTCTCCTGACTCCTTTTCTTTGGAACGTATTTCCCCCTACACTGAATTGCATCCATTCAACAGAATGATTGCAGATTGAGTAAATTGTCCTCTTACTTTTCTATTTAGATATACAGTATGAACATAGAAAAAGGAAGGAAGGAAGGAAGGAAGGAAGGAAGGAAGGAGGAAGGAAGGAAGGAAGGAAGGAGATTTCTTTTTAGGTTTGCATCCCCTTACAGGTTTTCATGATGCATGGGAGATTTGGGCAACAAGCAAGAGTTAAACAAGGAATCACAGCAGCCACTTTCAAATGAAGTCTCACGGTAAGTGGTGCTGTAACTTTGAATTAGCTCTGCTTAGAGGCAAACCACAGACAAGGCAAAGTCAATGCTGGGCTGCAAGCAATGCAGTGCTGTGTTTTTTTTATGACTGCAGGTAGAAAAATGATTTCTCTAATGCCTACAGCTTCCGTATATCTGGCTCTGTGCAGGTCAAGCATGAAGTACGTGAGAAGGGCACTGCAGCAACACATCAAGCTAATTTTCAAGCCGTTCTCAGAAACTACGTTAACTTACACTGTGGACACATTGCACAGGGAGGCAGCATAAAGAATTTAAAAAATAATAATGCATTAATGGGTTCAAACTCACCTAGACCCACGAGAATAGGGTTTTCAAAGGTAAGGAAACAATGTGACATCAGGGCTGGGGTGGGCGTAAACGGTCAGCACTACACCTGAAACTACAAACCAGATCCGGGGCAGATTGTCACTACACCCCCTAAATCCTCTTTGCCCTCTCCTACCAATTTTCTTTGTATACCCTTTGTGATTATCTTGTTTTCCTACACATTCCTCTTCCTCACTAAAAGGATTTGTGCCAATGGCTGATCTGTGAAGCCCCCAAAGCCAGCTTAGGGTACTGCACTGCAGGCTGCCTCGTGATACCCATTACAACATTCTCATTGTGGTACACTGGTTTATGCTGTAGTATATCTTTCTTTAAAAATCAGAATGCCTTTGCAATTGTAGCTGCATGTAGGTGTGCACGGTACTTGGGAGTTCTCACTCAGTTGCGACACAGGATTCAGGTGCTTCTTTCAAGCTCTGCATTACAGGATTACTGCTTCTTTGCACTCTTGCAAGTGGGCATAATGTGTTTTCCATCCTAGTTTATCAATTCCTTGCAGAAGCATTGATTGGGAATGAGATGGGGGTGGATGGGCGTCGTGCGTGCACAACAACGTCACGCATGCCAGACATCAGGCGTGACACCGTTGCATGCAGGGTTTTCTGGGCATCACATGGCACTTGGCTTCCATGACTAGTGGCTCCTCCTCTTCCTGCTCCACCACGTGGGCCAGGGACTGCTTTCCCTCCCTGCAGGAGAGGGAGGAGCTGAGTTGCCACCCACATTCCTGCTCTCCGACGTGGCACAACCATCGGCCCATCACAGCGACAGCTCAGACTTCCATGGCCGGTGGTTTCTCCACCTCTGCTTCTCTTTCCTTATAATACCCATAGTTTTTAACTTTTTTTTTTAAGTGTGTTTACTAGCAAGGCTACCCTACTACCTACAGCAATATTGTTTTTTGTGACCCTCTTACTTCCCTCGAGGCTTGAACATACACACATTTTTTTTTACATTTAAATTAAAGATGCTTTCATACCAATAATTCTATTGCTTCTGTACTATGCTGCAAAGTGTACACCTTGGCAGGGGCATAAAAGATGGCACAAATGCATTTTTAGAATGTTTGTGACCTAAGATTTAACTCACATATTTCTGCAAAAAAACCAAAAAACCTGCCCCCAAAAACCAAACTTCTAACAAGTTGGTGATTTTTTCTCCAGTACTGTAGTGGGTAAAGGAGACTTTGAGACAGCGCGGAATGCATTGCTATGAAATATAGCTGTAATCTTCCAAGATTTAGGAAAGAATGCATGGATAATAAAAATCATCTTGATTATAGTGTCTCATGCTACAATAGCAAGAGGATGCTCACTTAAACAGCTGCAAGAAGTGCAACAAATTCCCATTCAATGTTGACAAAAAAGAAAGCACGTTGGGTACCTAGCCCGAAAAACTCCATACTACAAAATGATCATAGATGGCTAAAGTTGAGAAAGATCAAATAAGAGCTTCCAGTGATAAAAATAGAAGGGGGAGGGGGAGGGAGGGGGAGGAGAGAGATGTTTCAGGAATACAAGGAACTTTGAGGTTCACAGCACAATTTGGACTAAAAGACTGAACTATCACTGCTGCACATCTAAGTGAACGAAGACTGCTTTCAGTCCTTCATCCACTGCACTATTTCTAAACAATCATAGAAAATAAAAGCCTTCATCTATATCCAGGAATATTTCCTGTGCTTACCTGGGGTCACTGGTGACTTTGCGGAGACTCATGTGGCTTGGTTCTAGTTGGGGTACCAAAGTTCCTGGTATGTGATACCCATTCACTGTAAAGAAAAGATACAGAAGGGGGGAAATGGGTTTACCATCTCTGAGGCTCTTCTTCAAAATTAAGTAATTTACCTGGCATACATGACCAAGTGTAAATGTATAATTCAAAATGTCACCACAAAATACAGCAAGTCTACATGAAACACACTCTGCAGAAATACATAATATATCGATCGATCAATCTATGCAGAAATACATGCAAGCAGGCAGCAATTTTAGCAACTAGAACACATCAATTGCAAAGACATTATTGAGATAGATCAACTATTTATGTAAAAACACGAGCCTCTGTAAACTCTGCAGCAAGGTCAGGCAACTCCACTTTAAATGAAATATCTGATTATCTCAAGTAATTTATGCAATAAAATTCCAGTATGTCTCTATATTTTTGAAAGTAAAACTGTCATCACGCTGTAGTTTGCATAGCCGCAATAGGCAGTCATACCAACTACAGCATGATGGACAGAACAACAGGCAGGTGAATGAACAAGCAAGCAGCATGGGTGGTGGCGAGTCAGGCGAGCAGATGAGGAAGGAGCAATGTTTAAAGGCGGGTAGAAGACCCTGCAGAAGGATGGCTTGGCAAACCATTCTCTGAGCCTTCTTCCCTGCCATTATACATCTCTGGAGTATTATAAAAGAACATGTAAAAACAAAAGCTCTGAGAGCCTTAACACAACATGAAATTTTATTAAGCACAATGGGTAGAGAGTGGAAAGGATGAATCTCTAAACTGTATTCTATATTGCATAATATAGCTTACGGATATATGGAACCCCTTTAAAAGATATGGGGATATTTAGCAGCACAAATAGAAAATGCACCTCAATGGTGAACAGCTCAAAATCTTACACTGGGCGCTTGGTACTGCTCACTCTGAAATATAGGTATACAGTAATGTAGAAAATCAGACATAATTTGAGATTTTGACAAGGACTAGAACCTCCAGACACTTTTTATATGATTTGGCATATAGAGCGGAACCGTCATTTTCAAGGCAGCCCTCGTCACAAGCCTGGGAAATCTGGAACTGCACTTTTATGATCTGATAAAAGTTGATAGTCTTTACTTGGGACTTTGTTATTTTAACTCATGTACAACCACTCACTCTATATGCCTATTTTATAGTTTCGTTTTTCATCATTTACTTTTTATCTGTTGTTATAATTGTTCTCTCTGTTTTATATACATTATAAAATGAAATAGAAATAAACTTTACCCCCCCTCCAAATATCTGGAGTGACATTTAAAAGAGGGTGGGAGGTACTTCAGAGAGCGGTTTGGCAAATGGCTCTGTAAAGCACCCACCTCTCTGTTAAACATTTAACAAGCTGTGACAGAACGGGGGGGGGGGGGTGTTTGGGGCAAGCTGAGCAAAGGACTGGGTAAAATGTGGGGACAGGGAAAGAGGCTTAGTAAAGGGGATTGACCAAGGGCTAGCAAGCAGAGCAGGTGGGGACAGCATCCTCTAGTCTAGTACATTCATATTACTGTAAAGGTAAAGGGACCCCTGACAATTAAGTCCAGTCACAAACAAGTCTGGGGTTGCGGTGCTCACCTCACCTTAAAGGCTGAGGGAGCCGGCATTTGTCCGCTTCCACAGACAGTTTTTCCAGGTCATGTGGCCAGTATGACTAAGCCGCTTCTGGCGAAACCAGAGCAGCACATGGAAATGCCGTTTACCTTCCCGCTGGAGCGGTACCTATTTATTTACTTGCACTGGCATGCTTTCAAACTGCTAGGTTGGCAGAAGCAGGGACTGAGCAACGGGAGCTTACCCCGTTGCGGGGATTCAAGCCGCCGACCTGTAATTCATCAATTTTAGCTTATCAGGCTCCACCACCACCACATTTTGTAGGGGACTTTGGGTGTATTACCATTCTCTTACTCAGAAAGGATAGGATGCTGTGACACCATTTGTAAAAACAAAACCAGAATTGCATGGTAGAAAGAAACTAATGACTGATCTAGAAGCATCCCCTCGCCTTTCTCGTTGCTAAAATCTGCAGTTGGCTCTCAAAAATCAGCATCATAGACTTATATAAGCACATGGTTGATAGCCAGGAGAGATCGCACAGAAGTATAGAAAAAAACATGTCCTTCATGTGCCATAACTTGACCATGCACTACCCTCCAAGCACCACTTTAAATACCAGTCAATGGAGATGTCACAGGTATTAGCCACTTTTGGTACAAACCGTGAAGAGTGTATGTGTGTTTATTTCAGTAAATCTAATGCGCGCCGCCTAATTTTCCCCCTACCTGTAGGCAAGGAGTTCTTCTGTGTCACAGGGCTCTTTGGTGTCCCAGGCACACTGCTTGGCCGCTCCCAAGTAGTCTCTGTTCAAAAACAACATTGATGTCAGTGCAGTCAGAATCACAAATATATACAAGAAAGATTTCCTGTCTGCCCCCCCCCAAAAGTGGACCAAATAAATGTCCACCCTTATCAGATAAGAGATGGTTAACTCCTGTTCTGTGCTGCTTTATATAATGCTCCCCAACTTAAGGGCAATCCTTTCAGATGGCATCACTTAAGAGCGTGCTCAGCTGGAAGCTTTCCCCTCGGGCAATCCTCACACTTACTGGAGGAAGCCACTCCACAGCAACACACCACTGTGGTTTCATACCTATCAGGTGTGTACAACTGGAGCACCCAGTCTGTGATAGTCAGAAAAGCTGAAAGTCCCATTTCGATGTGCCTTTATGATACTCAGCAACCTTATTATCAGAAGAGGCTTAATTTGTATTTATTTCATTTAAAGTATTTATTATCCATTATTCATTGCTAGAAGAAATCCAAGAGACGGCTGTGATACTATCAGCATATTAAAAACACAATAAGAAATTCCAGCAATAAAATCAGAAGACGGTAACGTATGACCTCAAGATCAGTACTAATTTCCATCAATTGCCCAAAGTCAACAGATAAGACATTAGTAGGCACTGAAAATCTGTAAGTGCTCCCTCCTTTATTTCAGAGGTGAGGGGAATTCTATAATTTAGGCCCCACTATGGAGAAGTTTCTTCAGAATGCCACGGCGTGAACTTCGGGAGGCTGTAGCACACAACCAGGAGAGCCTTCTCTAAAGATCTCAATGTATGGACAGGTCCGTGGGTGGGAAAAGGAGATTCCTCAAGTATCCAGGCCCTTGGCTGTACAGGGCTTTAACAGTTAACATTACATTTGGCTCACAGCAGCAGATCATTAATTTGAGTCACTATTCATCAGAGCCAAGGCCTTGAATTTTGTTTTACAACCCATGGAATATGCAGAGTAAAGAGCAGATTGACCACATGCAGAGTATCTATCTTCCCTTCACCACAAGTAACTACAATCAGGGTTTAATACATGTTGGAGGTTAACAGAAAGACTGTTTTTCAGTGTACACTGCTGCTGCCAGTATAAAAGAGATGTACACACAAAGTTCATTGGAAGTCATATTTCTTTTCTCCTGGACTCCTTTTCTTTGGAACGTATTTCCCCCCTACACTGAATTGCATCCATTCAACAAATGGATTGCAGATTGAGTAAATGTCTCTTACTTTTCTATTTAGATATACAGTATGAACATAGAAAAGAAGGAAGGAAGGAAGGAAGGAAGGAAGGAAGGAAGGAAGGAAGGAAGGAAGGAAGGAAGGAGATTCTTTTAGGTTTTGCATCCTTCAGGTTTTCATGATGCATGGGGAGATTTGGGCAACAAGCAAGAGTTAAACAAGGAATCACAGCAGCCACTTTCAAATGATAGTCTCCAACGGTAGGTGGTGCTGTAACTTTGAATTAGCTCTGCTTAGAGGCAAAACCACAGACAAGGCAAAGTCAATTGCTGGGCTGCAAGCAATGCAGTGCTGTGTTCTTTTTATGACTGCAGGTAGAAAAATGATTTCTCTAATGCCTACAGCTTCCGTATTCTGGCTCTGTGCAGGTCAAGCATGAAGTACGTGAGAAGGGGCACTGCAAGCAACACATCAAGCTAATTTTCAAGCCGATTCTCAGAAACTACGTTAACTTACACTGTGGGACACATTGCACAGGGAGGCAGCATAAAGAAGTTAAAAAATAATAATGCATTAATGGGTCAAACCTCACCTAGACCCCACGAGAATAGGGTTTCAAAGGTAAGGAAACATGTGACATCAGGGCTGGGGTGGGCGTAAGCGGTCAGCAGCTACACCTGAAACTACAAACCAGGCATCCGGGGCAGATTGTCACTACACCCCCTAAACTCCTCTTTGCCCTCTCCTACCAATTTTCTTTGTATAACCCTTTGTGATTATTCTGTTTTCTACACATTCCTCTTTCCTCACTAAAGGATTTGTGCCAATGGCTGATCTGTGAAGCCCGCAAAGCCAGCTTAGGGTACTGCACTGCAGGCTGCCTCGTGATACCATTACAACATTCTCATTTGTGTACCACTGGTTTTATGCTGTAGTAATTCTTTCTTTAAAAATCAGAATGCTTTGCAATTGATAGCTGCATGTAGGTGTGCACGGTACTTGGGGAGTTCTCACTCAGTTGCGACACAGGATTCAGGTGCTTCTTCTCAAAGCTCTGCATTACAGGGATATCACTGCTTCTTTGCACTCTTGCAAGTGGGATAATGTGTTTTCCATCCTAGTTTATCAATTCCTTGCAGAAGCATTGACTTGGGAATGAGATGGGGGTGGATGGGCCGGTCGTGCGTGCACAACAACGTCACGCAATGCCCAGACATCAGGCGTGACACCGTTGCATGCAGGGTTTCTGGGCATCACATGGCAACTTGGCTTCCATGACTAGTGGCTCCTCCTCTTCCTGCCTCCACCACCGTGGGCCAGGGACTGCTTCCCCTCCACTGCAGGAGAGGGAGGAGCTGAGTTGCCACCACATTCCTGTCTCCTCCGACGTGGCACAACCACTCGGCACCATCACACGCGACAGCTCAGCTTCCATGGCCGGTGGTTTCTCCACCTCTGCTTCTCTTCCTTATAATACCCATAGTATTTTAACTTTTTTTTTTAAGTGATGTTTACTAGCAAGGCTACCCTACTACCTACAGCAATATTGTTTTGTGACCCTCTTACTTCCCTCGAGGCTTGAACATAACACACATCTTTTTCTTTACATTTAATTAAGAGATGCTTTATACCAATAATTCTATTGCTTCTGTACTATGCTGCAATAGTGTACACCTTGGCAGGGGCATAAAGATGGCACAAATGCATTTTTATAAAGCAGTAAAATAAATAAAGCAATGAATCTCTCCAATACATAGTACTCGTGATTGGAAACAGCTCTCTGGGGCCCAAAATCCTTTTATTTAAAAATGCCAGGGAAGAAACAAGTATGCAGTGACACTTTCACTAAGCTAAGGACTCTTCCATTATCTAAAGTGATAAACATGAGATTTGATATCATCAGCACCAAAGTTCCTTCTAATCGAGCCAAAACATCACTGACACTGAATCAAGGTTAAAGCAAATATGGCACTGAAAGACAAGATCTACCTGGAAATTCCCTAACACAGGGTTGGGGAATCTTTTTTGGCTCCCGTAACACCAACTCTGGCAGGCGGGTGGAGCAGCTCACCTTCAATCACACGACATCATTACAGTTTGTCCCAGTCACCTAACGGAATCCCTTTCACAGGGTTCCAAAGCACCTTATGGCCTAAGGGATGATTCACAAAATCCTCCGGATCAGATGTGTTCATTTCCTTCCCAAACTACAGCATATTTGTGGCGGATGAGTCATCAATCAATTCATCATGTGTCATAATTGTACTTGCTAGCTTTCTACTCACATAAAGAAGGTTTTGCATAAAACACAGCTTTTACTGGAGTTCAGAGATCAGTCAAAACAGGAACGCAATGCAATCCATGTAGCAAGACACACCAGTCACACATAGGACCAGCCTTTCACAACCTTGGGTTTGTTGGACTACAATTCCCATCATTCCTAGCCAGCATGGCCTGTGGTCAGGGATGATGGCAGCTGTAGTTCAAGAACCTGTGGGGTCCCAAGGTTGAGAAAGGCTGCATAAGGACAGTAACATAAATTGCAAATTGACCCCAAAGTTGAATTCATCTACATAGTAAGTGACCAATTAAGCTTGTAGTCCTTATAAAATACTAATGCAAAATTGCTTGTGTGCAAGCATTTTCCTTATAAAAAGTATGGTCTCCATGCATAGTTTTCTTAATTGCAGCCCTTTTCAAGGATACTGGCCTGGATGTTGTACAAGCTAACTAGTCTGTAGCTATCTGGTTCACATACACACACCTCACCCTGGCTCTCCTACCAAAGGAAAAGGAAAAGATATATAATTTCCCCCTTCTCTCCTAGAATTCCCTCAACTGAATATTCACATTTTTTAAAAAATCATCACCCTAAGTGGTGCAGAAATTGTGTTGATTCAAGTGCAAATTATTAGTCGATGAGGTTTAAAAATATAAATCAGCATTGAAGGCAGGCAATTAGCAAGTATAATATTTTTTGTGTTCTATTTTACTTAGCATCCCATCTCCTATTTTGCTGTCTTGTGTTATGGCTTTTATTTTATGCTTGTTTGGAATGTCTGCATAATGTGAGGATGGCAACAGTGAGTCATCAGGGGTTTCGCAGCAGTGCAGAGTACACAACTGTTTGATTAAACCATGGAAGCATTAGCACTTTGTGTGTGCATTCTGCAATAGAAGGAGGAAAGGGAAAAGGCACCCAACAACTCATATCCAGAGAGATGGAATATCAGTCATGGTTTCTCTGAAATGTGGGAGCGCAGCAACTGCTACCAAGCACAGTTGTACAGAACTCAGATAGTACCTGCCCAGAAGGTTCAGGGAAAACAGGTGTTAATTTGCTTTAAGAAATAGGAATGCTATTGTGACCAATTGTATAGGAAATTGCTGATTTCTAGGGTCACATCTCCCCTCACCCCCTCAGTACACATATGCACGTATCATGCCTGTACAGTTGCTGCCTTGGGGAAGAGAAAGGTTAATAATAATAATAATAATAATAATAATAATAATAATAATACTTTCCCTGGTATTAGTTACTCAAGGCTTTGCAACAAAAAGCGGTAAAATATGTGCGGGGGAAAAACCCCAGGTGGAAAATTTAAGTGACAAATTGCTGATGAATAAACCACATGATGAAGTCATCTTTCTGCACCATTATGACTAGTGATCCCAATCCAAACACACTTAAGCTAAACCAACAGGTCAAGCTGTAACTAAATATAAATTTTAAATGCTCTGCATTGCTCCGTGTGACAGTTTATTGTAAGATGCCTAGAGATATGAGATTCAGGAGGTGTGGAATAATGAGGAATCTGTTTTGTTCTGAACACACATTTTTT